GCACTATAAACTTTTAAAGCATATCATGGCAGCATCCCAGGGGAATTAAGGCATGGAGAGAGAGAGAGAGAGGTGGGCTGTCTTGGGGATCGATACTTACTAATGTGCAGCCCCAAAGTAACACAGTGCTCCGCATGCTTCTGCCAGAGCCCTAAATGCTGTTGGTCCCTTCCATGGAGCCAGGGTGGAGACCAGAGGGGAGATCTAAAGGCCACATGAAGTTTTTTAACCCACCAGTGTCTCACATGAGTGTAGCTCGGAAGCTCTCTGGCAGGGTGGCAGCTTGCAGTTACCTGTCTGTGCGCAGTGGTAGTGGGTGATGTCCCTTCCTGCGTTTTTCTGTTTTTCCTGGTGCTTCCCAGGACAGGTTGACCCTGGGCGGGTGGGAGAGCAGTGGAGGCACGTGTGCTTCTCTCCAGAAAGCGTTTGCCAGTTTCTCTCAGCTTTGTTAAAATCTGGAATGTGAAAGGACTCCTTAATGCCGGCGAACATCGAGGCGCCCGCTGCTGTGAATGTAGAGCACTGTGCCTTGTTAATTTGTCACGTCCTATTTGCTGGGTGACCTCTGAGAAGGGTTGAGAGGGAGACCGGGCATCCTCAAACCATGTGAGGTTGAAGGTGGCCTTTTAATGAGCGAGGGGAATTGAACAGAGTTTGGGGGGCACCTTCATTTTTAGGTGCTTTTTGTGATGGGGAAACGAACAGTGCAATTCAGCTGAAGCTACGCTGTGAGAGAGCAAACTGTGAGAGCAGGCTGCCTGGCTGGTGGGTTACTCGTGCTCAGGAGAGATCGGGGATGAATGTACTGGATTCCATGTCATATCCGTAATATTTTTTTTTTTTTTGTCAGGTAGTTGACTTTTGTGCTTTGCAGTAAAGCAGGGTCAGCATCGCTGCATGCTGCTTCTGGCCGAGCCTTTGTCGTGTCTCGACTACCTCTCCTGGGGCGCTCCTGGGTAGCTCTGGACGGGGCAGAACTGCCACTATCTGAGCCTGGATGCTGAGGACTTTCCTTTCAAAGCTTCTTTGCTGCTGCCTGTGCCATAAAGGTTTTGCCACTGGTGCGGTGACACTCCCAGATTGTTCTTGTTAGTGCCAAAAGCTTTGTGCCCGAGCACAGCACTTCCCTCTGGAGTCTCGTAGCAGATGCTGCTCCTTGGCCACTGGTCCTGGGCTGCGGTCTGCTCTGCCCAGTGCTGTGTGGTGGTAGCAGCCCCTGTGGTACTTATAAGCAAGAAAAGCCTTGCTTGGAAATAGAGCCTTGGCTTTATTTCTTTTTATCACTCTTCTGATTATGGGATGAGAACAGCTGAGATCTTACAAGATGAGCTGGAGTGTTGTTTAGTTTGTTGGCTTTTTTTAAATTTCTGTTTATTGTGCTGGTGTGAGGCAATGCTGGAGATGAATGTGACGTTCCTTTTGTGCCTGCTGAAGTTTCTGTGTGCGGATTGGGGCTCGTCAGTGTGGCTTAGACCCCACTGAAACTTGCTGGGAGAACCGCACTGCTCCAAAACCTGTGTCCTGAAGGCAAGGAGGCTGCTTGGGGAGGTTGTCGTCTGGCACCAGCATCTGCGCTTCAGTACCGCTGCCACCTCTTTCTCTCTCCTGGAAAGGGCTCTCTGGGGTAGGGCGGGAGGTATAAACCAACAGGGCAGAAAGGCTGTTTTTAGATGTTAGTGTTGCTTCTGGTGGCTGGCAGTGAGGCCAGCTCAGCCGAGCAAGTTGAGCTCGTGGTAGTCTCCAGAGGGATTTCCAAAGTCAGGGGTTGCTTTTGATGGTGTTTTTAGGTCGCAGTTGGGAAGCAGCGTGGCATCACCTTTGCTGAAGGTGAGCGGTATGCCTGTGCGCGGGGCTGCATGTCTTTAAAGCATGTTTAAAGGCCTTTTCCTTTCCTAAACTGTGCTCTCCTGTCGCAAGTGAACTGGGTCTGCTGGTGAAAGACTTCTGTGTTCATCGAAAACGCCTGCTTTCTGAAGTGACTTGAAGTGTCCCCTTGTTGATTTGTGTGCATCCAAATGGCTTCCATGCTAAAGCTGAGGCGATATTCCGCCGAGGAAGAGGCATCTCAGTAAATGAGTAGTGCAGGTGACACCGGGCAGACCGAAGCTCCCTGCATCCTGCCTGACCTGCAGCTCTGGAGAAGTGCTCAGCACGGGAGCTTGTTTCCTGCTGGAAAATGACCTGATGCTATTTGGGTTTGGGGAGGGAGGGAGGGAGGAACTTTTTTTTTTCTGCTGACTCACTTATGTCTTCCTCCAGGCTGACAGCGCAGAGCGGTGGAGCAGGATCGATGATTAGTGTCGGCTGATCTCTTAGTCACAGTGGTCTCTACCTGTGGTGTTCAGCTGCACTCATAAACTGATAAATAACTCACTTCTCATTGCTCTCTCTCTATCAAACCTGTAGTATCTGATATTCAAGGCTGTGTTGAGCAATACTTGCACTACCACCTGTCTGACTTGCTTCATCTCCGCCACAAAGCAGCTCTGATTTGGGAGGATGCCCTGGGACCCTCGCCTGGTTCGAAACGGGAGCTCTGCGCTATCTGCAACTCAGCTATTAAGCAGGAGCTGTGGGGAAACACGCCTTGGAGTACTTGTCCTCCGAACGCCGGCTCACGGCAGGGTAACTTCTGAGCTCAGACTACAGGAAAGGGGTAATTACATCAGGCTGTGGCACCTCGGTGCAGCCAGAGCCCAGCCTGCCCTCGCTGCTTGTGTCACCTGTAATGGCGGCAGAAATCAGGGAGAGTCTGAGTGCAGCGGGTGATTTGGGAGCTGAATTCCTCTTTGCTCAGCAATTTCTCTGTCTGACCTGCTTCTGTACAGTAAAGATCCCTATATCAGCACTTTAAGACTTTTTCCTCATCTTCACTGTGTTACCTCACTAGTTTCTGATATTAGCAGACTTATAACAAGTTACGATCTTCGCACTAACAGCTCCCGCAACAAACCTTGGCATGCGTGTTCGTCAGCTTGCACTGCACTGCGCGAGCGCTGCGCACTGCCGTCCAGCCATCCTTCCACCACGAGCAGGGCAGGTTCCTCGCAGCCGCAGGGCAATACTCACCAGCCCTCCTGCACCGAACCTTCAGCCGCCAGAGCCACCGGTGCTCTGCATGGCCGTCGCCTGCTTCCGTGAGTGCTGCTAGCATGCCCCCACCTCCCGCACGACGGCTTGGGTTCCCTCCTCTCTCTCTGGCTGTCAGGGAGAGGAGGTTTTAAGCCTGACCGAGAATTCATCAGAGCAAAGGTCTCCCCTGGCCATCTGCTGCCTGGCGGGGAGGGCAAGGCTCCCTTTTCTTACTCCTCTGCTTTCCTGCGTTGGGAGATGAAACGCCAGCCCCTGCTCCATGCTACACTAGCCCACTCTTTCAGATCCCACCCCGAGGAGGGTCAGCCATAGGAGTAGGTGATACTAACCCTACACAGGTTTCATTTCTCAGAGAATAGTGCTCGGATTTACTTTCATCCAGTAGCAATCACTTCTAAGCAGCTCCAAAGCTGTCTTGCCTTGACTAGGGAAGTACTGCCTATACTCTAGCAATATTCACCGTACGTAAGGGGTGGGAGAGGCGATAGAGGGGCAGGAGCTGATGGCTCTGTGCCCCCAGGGCTGTTCTTTAGTTTTCATGGGGCGTGGGGGGCCCTGAGCCCCCGGTCTGGTGATGGGTGACAGTGTCAGAGAGGTGGGCAGGACCCGGGGCTTGTAGCAGCGCTTTGAGGAAGGCTCCTGTAATAAGGTACGGTGGGAAATTCAGTGAGTTGCCCAGGCTGGAGGAGAGTGCCTGTTCCACGCAGTGCTCCAGTAGCACAACATCAGAGCAACAGATTGTACCCCGATACTGGAAGGGTCACAAACCCACCGCACGCTGGTCCCTGAGACGCGTTTTTAACTGGAAGGCAGAAACACAGGGTACCTGGTCCCGCTGGCCGCCTGGCTGCCAGCACGGGGATGGGGCTGGGCTAAGAGCTGCCTCTGAGGGCTGCGAGGAGGCTGTGATGAATTCTCATCTTATTTTAAAGCACTGTATCCTATTACTGCATGTTGAGTTACGTGTGTGTGCCTGTGCGTGCCGAATGCTTGTGTCAGTAGTTAGAGCGAGTGTGACCGGGAGAAATCCAAGAAGCATGTCTTAGTGTCGTGCTGTAAGTGTCACTGCACAAGAGTTTAACAGATGTTAACACCAAATGACTAGTCTGAGAAATGTACTTTTAAAAAAAAAATTATTTATTTGGGTTCAGATATTTTTGAAATACAAAAAAAAAAAAATTGGTCGTATTTTTTAAAGCTTATAATTCTTGTCATACATTGTGGTTAAATTCTTAATTTTACCGTGCTTATTAAAAAATGGTTCTACCTAAGCTTTGTGCTCAGAGGTCTGAGAAAATACCAGAGACGCTGGCTAGGATGGGATGGCGATCCCGGGCGGGCTGTTCTTGGTGGGTTTGGGGCAAGACTCGGCCTTGTCAAAGCCTGCGGAGGCTGGAAAGCGTAAAAGGAATTTCTTGAGCCAGAAACCAAGGGAGGCTTTTAGCAGCTGTGAAGTCTCTTGTGGAGCTGAGCACAGCGCGCCTGGCCATGGTGGGGGGGTGGCTCATGGGGGAGTGGACCCCCATGTCCCTCCCGCTGCGGTGGGCAGGGGTGTCTGGGTGAAGGCGGGCAGGGCTGCCTAAACCTCATCTGCTTCTCCCACAGCCAGCGAGAGCTGGATCAAAGTCTGGTCTGGGCATGAGGCTGAGGGTTACCTGCTGCTCAGTACCAATTCTAACACTGAGCCATGAAGGGGCTGGTTTCCCCACAGGGGTGGGTGTGCTCAGGGGGTCTTGTACCCCAAATAGGAAGGGAGAGGTGAGTTAGAGCCACTGCTGCACCGCAGCCAGGGCTGGCAGGGAGCTGCTGGGAGAAGGCACTGGGACGTTGGTCTCGGGCTGGAGGTGCGAGTGTGCCACGATCCTGGGTACTTCCGCAGCTCCGGGAGCAGGCACAGGTGCCTCCCCTTACAGGACAGGCAGCCCCGGGAGCGGGAAGGTCGCCGCGAAGGCCTCCACCTCTTCCTTCAGTGCCTTCAGCTCCCCCCGGTATTTCTCCTCCTCCAGTTTCTCCTTGAATTCCTTCAGCGTGGCCTTGGGGCTCATGTCCTTTTGCACACGCAGTGTCAGCTCGATCCCTGCCAGGATGGGAGACGTGTCAGTCAGCCCTTGCAGCCGCAACACCTCTGCCTGCGCCCACAGTGGGCAGCTGCTGCTTGCCGCACCTCTCCCAGCCCTGCTGCAGGGACCCTGCGGGGCTGGACCACGGGCTCAGCCCTGCATCACCCCACAGCAGCACTGGGGCTACTCCCTGGGACGTGGGAGGGAAGCAGCAGGGCTGCGAGGGACTTTTTGCCCCAGGAAACCGGTGTGGGACCCCCGAGGACAACTGGAACTAGACTGGGAAAGGTACAGTTTTAATCCAGGCTTTCAGCACGCTGCTAGTGCAGTGGGGAGGGTTTGGCTGGTCCCAGCTGTGGCCAGATGTCCTCTCCCACATCCAGACATGCAGGTGGGACTGTTCTTCCTCACTTGTGTGTGTGCTCCCTTGCCAGCTGCTGGGGAAGCCGCACAGCTCGTGCCTCCTCACCCAGAGGAGCTGCCCTGGCCCCACGCTGCCGCTGGAGCTGAGACTGGGCCCCCACATGCACCCCCCCGGCCTCACCTCTGTGGATGTACTGAGCCACCATGCGGAAGTCATCCTGCCGGAACCCACGGGAGGTGAGAGCCGGCGTCCCAAAACGCAGGCCGCTGGGGCGCAGGGCGCTGATGTCGCCTGCACCAGAACAAGCCACGTGTGACCAAACCAGGTGCCGAAACTGCCATGCATGGCAACTCGGTGTGGTTCCCAGTGCCTGGGGTGGACCAGGAGCTGGGAGCTCTGCAGGAAGCTCTACACAGGCCACAGGAGATGCTCACCGGGGCACGTGTTCTTGTTGCAGGCGATGGAGCAGATCTCCAGCACCCGCTCAGCTCGGCCACCATCCGTGCCTCTGCTGCGCAGGTCCAGGAGGATCAGGTGGTTGTCGGAGCCCCCTGCAAAGAGAGGGGTTTGGTGGGGGGGACATGAGATCGGGGTAAACGCTGCTACTGTAGGAGACTTCAGCAAAAATGCCTTGGGACTGCACCAGGGCCTGCCCCTGGTATTGGGGGCAGAAGGGGGCCTGCCCTTTCGAAAGGGGGCTGCTTCAAAATAGTTTTATGCATGTCCTGAGGAATTGTGACGGCAGAGCCCTGCCCGTCGTGTCTGTACGTGAGCTGCCCTCGTGTCCCAGCTCGGACCGTGGGCCATGCACAGGGGTCAGCCCTGTCCCACAGCCAAGACCTGTCCTCACCCGTGACGATGTCATAGCCCAGCTCCATCAGCGCCGTCGAGAGCGCCTTGCAGTTTGCAACCACCTGCTGCTGGTAAGCCTTGAACTCCGGCGTCATGGCCTGCCGCAGTGCCACGGCGATCCCTGGGGAGGAAGGCAGACCAGGGTGAGGTTTTGGGGGCTTCCACCAGGAGAGCTGGCGGGGATGTGTGGCACCACCAGCAGAAGTCATCCTGGAAGCTGAGCAGACTGATGGACAGTCCCTTCCCCTAACTAGGCTTGTGGCAACACCATGAGCCAAAAGGCAGGATGGGACAAGCCTGGTCGCTCCTTGGGCAATGCTGGATCAAGCCAGCTGCTCTTTGCCACGTTATCTCCAGGCTGCAAGCCCCCTGTGGTACCTGGAGCCCCTGTCACTGCTGCTGGGGGTCAGAGCCCAGCCAGAACACCTTTGCCTGCTCCCTTCGGCATCCTGGAGCTGGCGACCAGCCTGGATGCGTACCTGCAATAGCATGGTTGTGTGGGCCTCCTTGCAGCCCAGGGAAGACCGCCTGGTTGATGAGGCTCTCCAGGTTGTAGAGTGTTTCCTTGCCTGTCTTGGGGTCCACGCTGCGGGTGCCTGTGGGAGGGGAAGGCAAGGTCACACACGAGACAGCTCAGCCTCCCTTCTCCCACGAGCTGCTTTCCCCCCCGGCCTCTCAGAGGAGGGATAGTGGTTGTTCCTCTTCAAACCTGGGCCACGGTGGGCCCTGGAAAGTTCCCCAGATGCTCTCAAGAGGCCTCAGACTTTCCTGCCCTCCCTTCTTCCCAGCTAGAGCAGGAAGGAGCTTTAACTTGCAGCTCCCCCAGCCTGGGGGGAGCATTTCTCCCAGCTCCCTGGTCAGGTCAAGCACCTTTGCGGTAGAAGATCATGCCGGCCCTGCAGCCCCGCAAGGTCTTGTGGGTGGTGGTGGAGACGACGTCGCAGTGGTCAAAGGGGGAGGGCACCACACCAGCAGCCACCAGCCCGCTGATGTGGGCCATGTCGGCCATGAGATAGGCACCGTTGGCATCGGCGATCTTCCGCATACGGGCATAGTCCAGATTGCGCGAGTAGCAGCTGACACCTGCAGGGACACGGAGCACATGGAGAGGACAGGAGCAGATGCTCGAGGACCTTGGGACAGACCCAGGTCCAGACCTGCGATGGGAACAGCCCAGCTGCGGACAGCACACAAGCTGCTGCCAGCGTGGATGTGTCTGAGGTCTCCTCCTGGCACAACAGCATCCGTGGGCTTACCAAAGCGCTCCTCGCTTCAGGGAGCCACATCCACCCAGCATGGGTCACCAGAGAGGTTCATAAGGGTTTGATCCTTACCTGCTATGATCAGCTTGGGGTGGAAGAGGCGGGCGTTCTCCTCCAGACGGTCATAGTCAATGTAACCGGTCTTGGGGTTGACCTGAGAGAGGAAGAGGGTTCAGCCACCTTGGCATGGGCGAAGATCAGCCACAGTGCCATCCTGCAGGAGAGGGTGCCAGCAGCCTGACGCTGGTACTTTTAACTTCAAGAGGCACCTACGTTTATGATGACCGCATCCTGGCTCCAGCTGGAGCAGCTCCCTACCTTATATGGCATGGACTCAAAGAAGACAGAGGTGGCAGAGATCTTCTTCTTGTCTGTCATGAATCCATGGGTAAGGTGGCCCCCATCGGGCAGGTCCAGCCCCATGATCCTGCCGTGGGGCTCCACCAGGGCCGTGTACACCGCAAAGTTTGCAGGTGACCCTGCAGCAAGAGCGTATCAGGCTGGTTATGGGTGCCAGGACGTGTAGAAGCCAGTGCAGCCAGCCTGGCTCTCCTGAGCACCTCGTTACCTGAGTAGGGCTGGACGTTGACGCCCCACTTCTGGGGGTCGAGCCGGTACGCCTGCAGGGCTCGCTTCTGGCACAGCCTTTCCAGCTCGTCTACGAACTCTGTCCCACCATAGTACCTGCAGTAAAGGACGGGGCAGGGGTTAAAACCAAACTCATTACTCAGACTGGTCCCTGTGGCCAAGCTGGGAAGAAGCTGGGCTGATTCCACATTTGCAGCAGCCACCCAGACAGCAGCTGCAGCAGACGTGACCCTGCTGAGATTGTCCCATGTGTGGCCAAGGACAGAAGCCGAGAGAGTTGAATCCTGCCCTGGAGGAGCTTGGCTGCCAGCACTAGGACATCTCTTCCTCTCCAGAGGTGAGCTCTGGCAGCATAGGTTTTCCCTCTCCCCTCCCTGTGAGGGTTTGGGTTAGGTGGGACTCAGCCCCAGCCCTGTACCTTTGTCCTGGGTAACCCTCGGAGTATTTGTTGTTCATGCAGGATCCCAGGGCTTCCAGGACTGCTCGGCTCGCAAAGTTTTCCGATGCGATTAACTCCAGACCCAGCCTCTGCCGCTGCTTCTCCTTCTTGATGATGCTGTGCACCTTTGGAAGGGGAGAGAAACAGCTTCACCCGTGCCGGCTCTGCACAGAGATGTGGATGCTCTGCAGTAGGGGATGTACCCTCGGAAGGGACAGGGCATGGAGAGGGGCCTGGAAACGTGGTGGAGAAGGGAGAGGAGATCCCTTCTCTGTACAGCTGATCCCAAACAGTTCATATGTCTAGTCACAGGCCGTGTTTTGGGTTTCTACCTGTCAGGAAGCTGCCAGACAATTCAGCTGTCATTTGGGCTACAGAATCAAGGGCAACTGCCACATGGCCTGGTGGGCCAGCTGTTCTGGTGTGAGCATTAGAGCTTCAAGCAGAGGCGTATAATAGATGCAAAGTTATGACCATATTATGGGCACACAGTTGGAGGATGCCCTCTTTCTCCACTTCTTGCTGCAGCAGAGAGGGCACGCAGGATGGATAGGTCCCACCAGCTCAGCCTTGGGCCATCTCCCTGCCACATCCCTGGCTAGAGGAGGTCAGCCTTTCCACAGCTGCCTGGAGGATGAACAAACTGGCTGCTGGGCAGGGGCCAGGAAGGGGCTCTCACCTCCGGGTCGTTGCTGTCGAGCGGCTCCATTACCATCTTGTTATGGGAGGCCCAGAGCTCCGCACTGGGGAGGGCCCCGTAACCCTGTGTTGAGTTGGCCATCCTTCTGTTGGGTCCAATGTCACCTGCCAGTGGAGAAGGGAGTTTGTGGGATGGAAGCGGGGCTGGGTCCATCCCTGTACCCTGCCTGCTCCCATCCCACATCTTACCTGGAAGCCCAGAGGGACTAGCTGCAGGCTGGGGCCCACTGAGTGAGGAAAACACCAACAACTCTCAGGTTTCCCACACTGATTTAAGACCAGTTCATTAATTATGTATTCAGTGCTTTGATCATTTTGGATAGTCTCCTGTTACTGCCCCACCTGGGGTCCCCCCACCCAGCTCTGCAGCACCTGGCCAGAAACTTGGGGATGTGGTGAACCCATGCATGGACCAAATCATATCAGCAACACGAGCAATGCCTTTCCTTCTCGCTCCCACATATCTGTAAGTCTTAGGGCTTCTAGGAAATGCTAGCAAATGCCCTCATGGACACACAGCTGTCTTATTAAAACTGCTCTTTAATTTCAGTGAAATAGTCATACCCACAGACCTCAATTTTAACGTGTGTTGCATTCCCCAGCATGCTTAAACCTCTCAGCTGCTTTCCCTTGTGCGTAGCCATGAGGCCAAAGTCCCAGCAGGTCAGAGTCCTACCCCAAACCCTAACTGAAGCAAGCATGGCTTGTGGAGCAGGGCCTCGAGAAGCAGCAGCTCTGCCTCAGCTTGACTCCGTGGCACGCATGATGCCCAGGCCTGGCAGCAGCCCTCCGGCCCCATCCATGCAGCCGCTGCTCACATTATAATGCAAAGCACAAGCTCCCAGGCAGGCATGACAGCCCAGCTTCTGCCTTGGCTGAAAACAATGCATCCTTTTACTCATTAACCCTGCAAGGCCAGCGAAGGGCCGTGAGCAGGCTATTAAGCAATTGCACTTGGTTTGCTTGTGCCAAGCTGCTGAAGTCCATTCAGCACAGGCCTGCTGCATGCTGCCCTCACTGGGCAGGGACACCTGGCCACCCTCCTCCCTAAGCCCAGAGCCTCACTGGCAGAGAGGGAATCCCCACTGTCAGAAAAGCTGGATTGGGATAGGGAAAGGGCTGCGAGGGAAAGGGCAGGGTGCAGTGCTGTGGCTTTGAGCAGGACAGCTGGGTCACCCCCAGGGCGGGTGGTAGTGGTACTCACACCCAGCACTTTCACAGACCTGCAGAAGGCTCGGGGTGGACAGAGCTCCCCATTCCCCACCCAGGATGAGGCCCCCATTTCCACTCTTATGGTGGGACATCAGTCCAGCCCTGGCGGTTCACCTGCTGCAGGGATGAACCCTAGCCCTGAGGCTCCATCCCCACCTGGCTCTCCACCCCCCTGTATCCCGGCTCCATCACCATCCCGCATCCTTGACAGGCTCCCACTGTCACGCTCCCCCTGCCCCGACTCCGGTGGTGGGGGACACCGCTCCCCGCCCGCCTCTCACCCCGCAGCAGGGTGCCCTGCTCCCGCACGGCCCTTCCCCGCCCCGTTCCGGCCCCGCACGGCCCCTACCCGCCCGCCGCACCGAAGCTCGGTCCCGGCCCCGCTCCGCCACCGCGCGGGAGCCCGCGCGCCTAGCATAGACCGCTCAGGCACGCCCCTACACGCACCGCCCAATCAGCGCCTCGGTAGGCCGGCGGCGGGGAACACGCTCCGGAAGTGTCTGATCCAATCAGCGCCGCGCTCTTCCCCCTCCCCGCGCCCTATTGGCCCGCGCCGAGGCGGGGTCGGCGGCGCTGCCAGCACGTGGCGGCCGGAGCGCGGGTGACCTTGGCCGGGGCGGGCGGGCGGAGACTCCGCTGCCGTCACCTCTCTGCCGTCACCTCTTCTCTGCCGTCACCCGTCCTTTGCCGTCGCCCTGCTGCCGTCACCCCGCTGCCGTCACCCCTCCTCTGCCGTCACCCCACAGCCTGCTGTGCCCCGCAGGCGGCCTCTCCCCCAGCCCTGGGGTGTTCCCAATATCCTGACACCTGGAGGGGTCTCTCTGGAGCATGGGAGCCCCCACCACCACTCTGCAGCGGGCAGGGAGCGCTTCCAGCCACCCCCCTGCCCTGGGTGGCCTAAGCCATGTCTCGAGGCGTGCGGGCATGCCAGGCGGTGGCATGGCGACCACCGGGGCGTCAGGGGTTAAATCAATGCACTGCAAATTGAGGAACAAGATTAGGGAATAAGGGATCCTACTAAATTCCTCGTGATCCCAAGCCAAGGGGAAAATGGAACGAGGCGGTGTGAGTCACTCAGCGGAGAGGAGCAGCGTCTCTCGGGGGGGTTGTCCAGGAGGCGAGAGCACTGGCTGCAGGCAGAGCCGCCAAGGAGCGCAGGGCAGCGGTGAGTCCTGCGGCACCTGGCGAGGTGGGGAGCCGGGCACGGGGATTCATGGTTGGTGGGTAACGGGCTGAGGGTCACACCAGAACACACCTCGGGTACCATTCTGCCTTGGAAGATACTTGTTGAACAGTCTTTTAACTTAATCTTTGCCAGTCTAGATGGTTTTTGTTATCTTAACGTGTCGTTGGTCATCCAAAGAGGACTCATAACAGCTGGGGGATTTGGGTTCCCGTGGTTCTGCTGCTGGCCCACGTTGCATTGCTGTTGCAGGCCGATCATGGAGGTGGTGTTCTGACAGCGCCGACACCAGCAGCAAAACCCGGGTCGGTTTCTCTGGTTGCGGTGGTTTCTGTGACGTGCAGATGCTGTAGAGAAAGACTTTATGTTAATTATATATTAAGTTATATAATCTGGCTTTGCATATACATTTTGTGTGCAGCTGCTAGCAAAGATTTTTACCTCCCCTGAGCTGTAGGAGCAGCAGATGACAGCGGTGTGTGCTGTTATGATTTCAGGACTGTGGCTTGCTGGTGATGGAGAGCGTCTCTTCTTCCCCTTCACCCTTCTCTGACAGTTCCCTCACCGTGCAGCCTGAGAACGCCACTGCCTATGACTACTACTCCGGCCTCCAGAAGAGCATGCACATCCTCTCCATGGTGGTCTACAGCATCGCCTGTTTGCTGGGGGTGACAGGGAACGGCCTCGTCATCTGGATTGCAGGCTTCAAGATGAAGAAGACGGTGAACTCCATCTGGTTCCTCAACCTGGCCGTCGCTGACTTCATCTTCACCTTTTTCCTCCCCCTCAGCATTGCCTACACTGCCCTGGGGTTCCACTGGCCGTTTGGGAAGCTCCTGTGCAAGCTGAACAGCACCATCGCGTTCCTCAACATGTTTGCCAGCGTCTTCCTCCTGACGGTCATCAGCATGGACCGCTGCATTTCTGTGGCCTTTCCCATCTGGTCTCACAACCACAGGAGTCCGGAGCTGGCGGCCAGGATTGCGCTGGGGACGTGGGTCCTGGCTCTCCTCCTCAGCTCCCCATACCTTGTCTTTCGGGACACTGTGGTCAGTTCCAGGAACATCACCAGCTGCTATAATAATTTTGCACTGTCCGATGACTACACGTCCGAGGCAACACGGAGGCTGTGGAGGATGCGGCATAAAGCGATGATCATAACACGATTCTTATGTGGGTTCCTCATCCCTTTCACGGTGATTCTCATCTGCTACAGCATCGTTGCTGTCAAGCTGAAAAGAAGGCAGTTAGCCAACTCTGCGAAACCATACAGAATTATCATTGCTGTCACAGTCTCTTTTTTCCTCTGTTATTTCCCCTATCACGTCTTCTCCTTGCTGGAAATATCCAAAAACTCTTCCAGTCATGAAATGAAAATGGCCCTTTACATAGGGATCCCCTTGGTTTCCAGCCTTGCTTTCTTCAACAGCTGCATCAACCCCATCCTGTACGTATTTGTGGGGCCAGATTTCAAGGAGAAGTTTCGCCAGTCCATCCTGTCAACCTTCGAAGGGGCCTTCAGCGAGGAGTCGGTCCTGGGCAGCCTGAGCAGCAGGCGAAAGTCCAGGTCTGCTTCGGAAGCGGAGGTCCCAAGGGTCTGAGCAGGTGCTGGTGTGGAGGGGGCAGTTCTTTTCTCTGCAATTTGCCTTCATTTCAGAGCTATAATCGCAGGACTGGGTGGCTGCAAAGAGCTGTGCACGCTAACGAAGTGTGATTTGACCTTTTGGAGGTATCTCAAACCTACTATGACTTAATATACTATGGAAATTAAACAACCATCTGGAGCTGCAGCAGGGTGGGAAAGTCAAAGTACATTTTGCTCCTTGTGCCACTTCCTTGGCTGCCTTCTTTCCCTGTAGCTTTTCCATCCCTTATGGTCCGTCATACCTGGCAAAATGTCTCACTGGCTGGATGGGCTGAGAGGGTGACCACAGCCTGGGTGGTGGCTGCCAGTCGTCAGACTTGGCTGCCTCAGCACTGCTGATCTGTTAGAGCTTCCAGTTTTTAACAGGCGACCCTTTGTAAAATTTGCTGGGTTTGTGACTCTGCTGGCAGAGCTCTCTTTACTCTCCTCTCCTCCTGAGTCCCAAGGAGGGAGCTCTCAGGTGCTCTCCACGCTGCCGCCCAGCCCAGGGTCACCTTGTACATGCCTGGGGGAGGCATCTGGGGACAAATCCTGTTGCATCTCCGTTGGATTCACCTGCCTGCAGTGTATTTGCACATGGCGAGCCGAAGGGAGAGTTTGTTCCCTGCCCTTGCCAGACTTCCCTGGCAGCTCATCTTTGCTGGGGTTCCACCAGGGAACAAAATCAGGTGCAGCTGCACCGGCGGAGTATGGTTGTGATGGAAGTGTAGGGTTGTGATGGAAGTGTATGGCTGTGCTGGAGGTGTGAGGCTGTGCCAATGTTTTGCCTGTCCAGAGGAGAAAAGGAGGGAGGGGAGAGCTATTCTATAAGTCCCTTGTAATTAAATCAGTAAAGAAAATACAAAGATCCTTTCCCATGGATCATTCCAGTCTGACACATGGGCTGCTAAAGCCTAAGGAGAAAATAATTTTAAAAAAGCCGCTTGAATGTGCAGTGGGATCCATCCAGAGGCACTCTTACACATGTGTCTTTTAAATAAATAGGGTTAAATGAAATGTATTTTTGTAGGGCCTGAGATAGCTAGTAAGACACTCATCTTTTCTCTCCCCAGATGTGTGGCAGGACAAATTATTGTTTGTGCTCCAGTTACTCAGGTTTGATGTACAGCATAACTATTTCTGAGCAACGCTTGTCTGTGTTCGCGTTTGACATGTTTCTGGCCCTTAAATAGTGGAGATCTGACATTCTGTACTGTTGGTGAATGAATATTAAATCCCAATAAACTTATGTAAAACATACCCAGCCTGTTGTGTTGCCTGTGTGATAAAACACTTGTTGATCCAACCTGATCAAGCACGCTCATCTTTGGTAACAGAACAACTAGATAAAAAGATTAAATACCCAGAATTTGGAAACAAAACACTGGCATTAGCAGCAACTCTCATGACTGAAGTAGACAGGGCTTGACCTGGGTGTGAGGACTTGCCTGGGGCTCTCTGTCCACATGGATCTGATTGCCAGATCGCAGTTCTGGCTTACCGTTGGGTTTCAGACCTTTTGGTATATTTGAGAACCAGTGGTTTGGAGAAGAAAGAAGAGCAAGCTTGGCTGAGTTGGGGCTGGTCACATTTCACATCTGCAAACTGCCCAGGATGAAGATGACAGGGGTTTTCTTCCCAGGCTTGATGAGCCCCTGAACC